AGTAGTAGTAACCAACTCAAATTTAGTTTTTGAGATATATCCATGTAGCTCTAGTTCACTCTTAATATTCCATTACATAAATGTACCACAATTTATTCATTCTCATTCTGATAGCTATTTGGGCTGTTTTCAAAGTTTTTCTATTACAAGCAGAGGTGGATTTACCATGAAGCTAATGAAATTTAAGCTCAAAGCCCCTTATTTGCCTGTACATCTTCCCTCTGCCCTCCCTTACCACCCCCCTTTTCCCCAACAGTGCTGGGAGTTGCTGGGAGTTGTAGTGTGAGAGGGGAAGCTATCAGGAAGCACTTATAAAGAAACTCAGAATAAAGACATGGATTTCCAAGGCTCTAGAAGTTTCTTCTCTCATTATAAATATTTAATATTTGTAATTCTGTATTATTATTTTTCTTAAAGAGAATCTCCCAAATTACATAATCTTCAAGTCCCACAGATTTCAATCTGCCCCTGATTACAAAAATGCTGCAAATAAATATGCTGGATACCCATGAGTTTCTCGGGATCATAAGCCTAGGGTATACGCATCTTCAGCATTACTTTACTCCCAGATTGCTCTTCAAATTGTTGATTCCAATTTATATACCCTCCAACAGGCTTCTAAGAGTTCTCAGAGCTCCATACCTTTAATGACATCTGACAAATTCAGACTTTCTAATTTTTAATCAATGTTGGGTAAGAAAGAATAGCTCAGTGTTTAAGAGATTCTATGGTTTTTCCCTCTCTAAATTCCATTTCAATTATAACCCCCCCATCATTTTCAGTGGCATGGTGGAAAAGAGCAGCAGCATGGCAATCAGAAGTCCTGGTTCAAATCTCATCTGTATGCCCCACTAGCTGTGGCATCTTAGGAAGCCAAACATCCTTCACAGAGCAGTGGTGACCAAATCTTGTGAATTTTGTGATAGAATGGGTACTGTATCCGAGTGAACACCCTCCATCATTTATGAGTTACTTTAGAGTTAGGGAGTCCCCTAAATTTCATCAGCCAACTTTAACTCCCAAAATAGAAGGCCCAAGAAGAATTCCATCTATTTTGTGTACATTTCTTTTAGGTACAGACATTCAGTGTGCACAAGAAATCACCAACAGGGCTGGCTAGTTTCAAATGTTTGCTGGAACTTTTACATACTGCATGTTTTAAAGTCTCCCCTGAAAAATTTAAACAATATTTATTACTATTATTATGAAAACAATATACAAACATGAAAAAAAAATCTAGGCAGTAACAAATGGTATAAAATAACAAATAAGAGTCTCTCCAACCACCCTATTTCCATGTACTATCCTCAGTGGTAGCTAATTATCTTTACATACATTTTCTAGACATAAAAGTATTTGTGTGCATATACATATATGTATGTATACATATCTACATATGCAGTTAAATACAGTCTTTGTTCTGCACTTTTTTGGCTTAATGTATTTTAAAGGTCTTTCCACATAACTAAACATAGAACATCGATATGACTTGTAATGGAAGCATGCTACTGTATTACATCGCTGAACTACAAACTATTTTCCCTACTGTGGATATGTAAATTGTTTTCCATTTTTCTCTCTTGCAGTCTCCACTGAGTATGTTGTGTATACACTACACACACAGAACGTGTGTATCTGCAGGATAAACTCCTAGGTATAAGCCCAAAAATCTGTTTTAAAAAACATCTTTAATGTCGTTATCAGTGTCCAGTCACTCTTCTTCATTCTCATTTTGAGATTCTGATCTTGCCCACCATGCAACTAACCATACAACTTTTTATATATTTGGCCAAGACCTTCTGGCAATATTAGAAAATAAATTTCTCTAATGCCCTGTGACCACACTGCAGATAAAAGAAAACATACTTTTCCCAGGGGTGCCCAATTTTATCACTCTTCAAAATTTAAATTTAGCAGAGATTGGACACAGCCTACCACTAGATGGATTGCTACAAATTCTGATTTTGTACCATTACTTCTGGAGTTTAATACTCGTTAACTGACTGGCTCACTGGTAAGTGGCTCCATTTCCTAAAATGGGTTTGAAAGTAAATTATACCACCCTCTGCAAATAGGTTAATGGGTGAAGCACACCAACTTTTTAATGAGTTTTAAAATTTATTTATGTATTTATTTTACAATGTCATATTTTCATAACTGAAGTATAGCTGACGTACAATATATGTTACAGGTGTACAATATAATCATTCACAATTTTTAAAGATTATACTCCATTTATAGTTATTATAAAATATTGGCCATATTCCCCATGTTGTACAATACATCCTTGCAGCGTATTTTATACCTGACAGTTTGTACTTCTTAATCCTCCACCTCCATCTTGCCCCTCCCTCTTTCCTCTCCCTACTGGTAACCACTAGTTCCTTCTCTGCATTTGTAAGCCTGTTTCTTTTATGTTATATTCACTTGTTTGTCGTATTTTTTAAGATTCC